TTGTGTTATGTCTGGCTTGGGTCTAAGCCCAAGTTCTACACCATGCTAGCTGGTGGAGTACCCATATCCTTGTGTTATACCACCAATATACTGAAATAGTGCTAAACTCCATTTGGTTCTATTTTGCATATTAATCCTAACATTGGGATGTTAGATGTTCCAGAACTATTCTAATTCGTTTCGTGTTTTTGTCCCTTCACTTCTTGAGTTATACACTTAAGAGTCACTCCATGCTTTTGTTCCTTTGCTCCTTAGCTCCATGCTTAGGAGTTTGGCACCATTATTTTGTTCACTAGCCTTTCTTCAGAGTGTTTTGACCATTGCAAATAGTTTCTTTTTTGTGGACATGCCAATTTCACTGAGCCTTATCCAACTTGTTTGGTCCACTCCCTATTGAAAGTAAGCACAAAAATGCTGCCTCCTGTGGACATTAATAAAGTAGGAGTCTTTAGCCTTACATTGCCCTACCTTTAAATCCTGGGCCTCCACTCTATATTGTTCTCTTCAGGCATTTGCCAATACCACTAAGTTCCTACCTTGTCTATGCAAGGGTACCACAAATTGATTAAATTAATCCATCCCGAAGATCATATCAAATCCCACCATGTCTAACACGGTGAAATCCATGTCTACTTTCCATGTCTTTACTTTGACTTTTGTTTGTTAAAGTACTTCATTGATGCTTTAGCTAACTTTAACAAACTTTATAGTCCTTGGTTCACTTAGCCACTACACCATTAATCTAGCTTGCCAAACTATGTTTACAGCCACAAAATTATCCAAAGCATCTATGTCAATAAAGATCTAGCTACTTTCAAGCTTCCCTTGGAAGGCTAGTGGATATTGTGAATGACTTTCTACCAAAGTTGCTCGTGTAATAAGTAACTTTGAGTTAGGGATTGGATCATGTACCTTAGTTTAAACTTCACTTAACTTAATGGCTATATTGACTTTGGCTTTCTAATGGGCCTTCTAATGGCCTTCTTTGACTTTCGTTGCTAACAAACTTAGCCTTTTTATCAGGGTTTGTCCCTTTTCACCTAAATCCCCATATACTTGCTCGCTAGCTATCAAATTTGCCTTTTCAAAATTCTGAAGACTCATTCTTAGAGAAACTCTTCCTAAATTTCCCTTTGCTATATGTCCCCTTTGGTTTGACTCCTTTGCTAAATGTGGTCCCCAACTCTATTGTATTCCTCTTTCGCAAATTATCATTGAAATGCACCTTAATAGCTGCATCCAATGTTTCCTTGTAGTTGATCAAGTTTCAACACATCACCTCACTTTGAGCCCATGTCTGTAAGCTTGATATGAAGGCATGGAATGCATCCATATTGCCCATTTCCGTAACAAGGATCCTCTTTGCTATAAACACATTTATATATTCTTGAATAGTTCTTATTTACTTTATCCTACTCAACTCATCCCTTAAATGCAGAGTAGCATTTGGAGGAACATAAGTTGCACGGATCCTCACCTTCATCATTTCCCAAGCAGCCCTAAACCAGTCCTTCATTGGCCTCCATTATTCTCCACCAAACTTTAGCATTATCTGCTAAGTATGGTTTTGCTTATAGGACCTTTTCCAAGCTTGATAACCACAATGCTCTAAAATAATCCTTTATATTGTAAAACTAACCCTTCACCACCTTATATTCCTTCACTCCTTTGAAGATCAATGGGGGCTTTGGTTTATACTTGGGAACTACTTAAGGGACTGATTCTACTTTGGTTTATTCAACCTTATTCATTTCCGCCTCAGTTTTCACTAAAGGGTCCATGCCTTCTGCACTACCAATATCCGTAGTCTTTTACCTTTTCTTTCATTTCTCAATACACTTTAATTTACGTAAGAAGGTCTTTAGCAGGGCATTGGTCTGTGCTAATTATCCTTTTAAAATGTCCAATTAAGCCTTGGATGACCAAACTTCACCATTAGACTCTTGTTTGGAATTTTACTCATTGGAGTCAGCCTTATGCAAAGATTCCTTATCCATAGTTTCTTGTTCAATTGGAGAAGGATAGATGTAAATTGTTGGGAGATGACTAAAGTAGAGTGTAAGAGAACCAAGATAGAAATGGAATTTCTTGCAAAGCTAGAGCCCTAAGAAGAAGGCTCTAATACTAAACTGTAAGCCATAAATTTTTTCTTTCCAATTTGTTAATTTACCTTGTCTATCCATTCACCATTACCTTAGCCTTTATTAAGTTCCCTTGCCAAAGTTTCCACCTATTATACTAACTCCTACTTGGTTCTACTTAGTTTCAGTTACTCACTACACAAGCAATGGTGTGTTAGCTATCCATCCATGGATTGCCAAATTTTCTTCGAATCCCACTCCCCGGGTTAGACTAGACTTAAAGTTCAACTACACTCCCTACAAGCACAAACAACCAAGAATAACAAACCTCCAGGTTTTTAACATCCCTTGGTACAACAACACTTAATCATGAGACCCTCTAAATCCTAAACCTTGAGTGCATCTCTTACTTTAGGACTTTAGGGGGAAATATTGTGGCCTAATGGCCTAATATAGGTACCCCTACTCCCCACTTCCATCCTAAAAGAAAGGCCCAAGCTCCTAGGAAGAAACAAGGACCAATGAGCAGTATAGTACTCAAATGAACACCATTCCACATGAGCTGAGAGTACCGCAATCAATTTCCCTTCAAAGAGTGGGAGTTACTTTTGAGCACTTCCTTAGGTGGCCCCCTCCAACACCACTTGAGTCCATGCTCACTCCCACCCAAGTCCCCTAACCCCCAGCCTCAACCACAAGTTGGTTTGGAAGCACCACTAGAGAGTTCCTTCAAGACTAATTTTTGGATCTCACTATCTCTATTATATTTTTGGTATTAGTATTTGGACTTAATCTCTCAGACTTGATCTCGGACTCAGTCTTGGACTTGACCTCGGACTTGGTCTTGGACTCGATCTTGGACTCGGTCTCAGACCTGATCTTGGATCTCGGACTCGGTTTCAAACTTGGTCTCTAACTTGGTTTCAAACTTGGTCCCTGACTCGGTCTCAAACTCAGTTTTGAACTTGGTCTCAAACTCAGTCTTGAACTTGGTCTCAAACTCAGTTTTAAACTTGGTCTCAGAATTGGTTTCAGACTTGATTTTAGACTCGGTATCAAAACTCGGTCTCAGAGTCGGTTTCAGACTCAATCTCAAACTCGGTCTTATCCGATGAACTCTTTATAATTTCGGTCATGGTTTCAAAGATCCTTTAGTATATGACACCTCAAGGAGTTGATTCCTTACACTTAGATGATCTAGAAAATTAGCAATGTGAAGAAGAAGGTATACTTGAAAATGTTCCCAAGACTACTTTTTGTACACTATTTGGTTTTTTTAAATTCTTGGTAATGCCATTTAGTTTGAACAATGCTCCAACAACTTTCTAGCGAATAATAAATAAGGTTTTTTGCAATATACCAAAGGTGACTACTAACTTCATCTATAATATCTTGATCTACTCAAAAGGGATATGGAAGGAGCATGTTTATGATATTCATAAGGTGTTAGATCTACTATAGTAAGTTGGTTTAAAGTTGAAGTAGTCAAAGTGCATATTTGGCTCCAAAGACACAACTTATCACAGGTACCATATTTTTTATGAAGGTTTGTAAATTGATCTTGACAAACTTGTGGCTATTCTAGAAGTTTGTACTCCGAAGTGTGTGAATGATATACAACACTTTCTAGGCAAGGTGCAATATCTCAATCATTTCATTGATCATCTTTCTAATCATATTATACCATTGTTAAAATAGTCAATATCATTTTTTATCTAGTTTAAGGATTGTAAATAGTTATTAATAACTCCTTCAGTTTTAGCATGTCTTGATTACACTCAATAATTCATTTTACGTATGAATGCTTTTAATATTGGTTTTGAAGTGTTGATGCAAAAGAGTCTAGGTGTGCCTAGTCGGCATCATCCTATTGCATACATCAACCGTATATTACTAGAGATGAATTACTCCACAACAGAGAATGAGTGTTTAGTAGTAATTTTGGGTTTTAAGAGGCTTCATATATATTTGCATAGTTTTTGAACATTACTAAAAAGTGATAATGCTGCAATTACTTCATTATTGAAGCGAAAGAATTTAATTGATCGTACTATTTAATGAGCTTTGAAGTTTCAAATATATAATTTTGAGGTTATTCATTGCATAGAGAGTTCTATGGCTAATATTAATGCCCTTTCTTAATGTCCTTTCCCTTTTTCATTATCTTCTCCATTTCCTAATAAGTTTGTTATTCCAATATCAATGGATTTTCGAAACAAATATTCTATGCCATTAGTGGTTGTTGTACATGATGTTTAATGTCTATAAAGTATGGAGCAAGATTTACCTTCTTTTAACGAGGTTCATGAGCTTCAAAATATTGAGTTTTAGACCTAAAAGCTTCATTAGAGGTTTTAGAATTTTGTATCACTTATTAATGACTTGCCATTTCGGCATTTACAATTTTAATATCACCTTTATAACAACTTTTTTTATTTTGTGGGGACTAATCTTGTTAATAATCTACAACTGATGGTGCGTTCAATATTTATTCCATACTTTCTCCATATTTATCATGACTTTCCTATTCTAAATAGATATAAACATCAATATGTGATTATGAAGTTGCACAAGTCTTTGTATAAGTGTATTTAATTGGGGTTTAGACCCCTACTTATATACAAGAATGGATGAACTATATTACGATTTATATGCTATAGTACTATATCTAACTAAGGTAATATATGTATATACATACATATATTTACAAACTTTATAATAATATTTAATTTGTTTAAGGGTCTCTTTGTTTAGTAAATTATATCAAGATGTTACAGAAAATCACAAGTTTCAACAAACTGATACTCTAGATATGTAGCGATTTAAATATTTCATTCATTTCCTTAAAAAACCCTTGGGAGGGGGAGCGATTTGAAAATTGGGATATTCTTTGTTTTAGGGTTTATCGATTCTTCATGAATGTCCGGCGAGCGCGACACCACTGCCATCGCGATCTCCTCGCACACATCAATCCTGCGGGACTGCGCCAGCACTCGAGATCTGACCGCCGCCAAGCAAGCGCAGTGGGAGATTGCCAGGGATGGATTCGGGGGCGACAGGTACCTTGGCAATCTTCTCGTCCAAGCCTACGGCAAATGCCGTAGCGTCCGCGATGCCAGAGAGGTTTTCGATCGCATCCAGCACCGAATAATCTTCTCCTGGACGATCATGCTCGGCGCCTACGCTGACAATGGCCACGGCCGCGAGGCCCTAGGCCTGTTTCACGAGATCCAGTCGCGTGGCATGGCGATCGACAATGTGACGCTCGTCAGTGCTCTCAAGGCGTGTGCCGTGGCCGGGGATCTGGAAGAGGGCCGCGGCATTCATGCCAATGCGCGGTCTCTAGGGTATGAATCCAAGATCATCGTGGCCACCGTGCTGGTGAGCATGTATGGGAAGTGTGGGCATTTGGAGGAGGCCAAGGAGGTGTTTGCGACGCTGGTGGAGAGGAATTGCGTGTCCTGGAACGCGATGTTAGCAGCGTATGCCCAGAACGGGCATTGTGAGGAGGCTGTGAGGCTCTATCGTCTTATGTGCTTCAAGGGGATCAAGCCCGATAGAGTCTAACGAAATGCAAAGTGCACTCTGCCACCAAGCATAATGCTACAAAAGAAAGGCACAAGGGTCACCTTTCTAGAAAAGTGCAACGGCCACTTTTCTTACACCAACTCCAGACTCTATACAACTCAATTGCCTTATCCCCAAAAGTCAGCATTCCTTTTGGGTTGCATCATACAGACTACTTACTAAGGTTTAAGTTAACCGAAGTCAACCCCAACCCTTTCGCTAGTTTGTACTAGCTTACGAAAATAGAATGGTTTTCAAGCAAAGTGATCAACAGATCAGCCATTGGATAAGTCTAAGAAAATTTGTGGAAAATTTTCCATCCTAGAGAAAGAATGACTCTTGGTCTAGGAATACAAACTTCCAAGATTCAACCAACTTCTTCCTACTAACAACTTCACATAGGTTCACCTCAACACCAATTCTCATGACCCATAGTATGCTTAAGCATCGAACATCTTTTTGCCCATATTTCTGACATCCAACTCCGACATCTGCCAAAATGCAAAGTGATCATCTAAGGCTTGATCACGAAGACCATATCTTCGGATATTCACATTGCACTAACACTCTTCTTCAACCATTTTCAGGATTCAATTTGAAGCTAAAACACTAACAAGAAAAATGACATGGAAAATCAAGCTCTAAGGAAAATTCCTCATCACTCAAAATAACAATGCCACTTCCACTAACACAAGTGCTAGCGATGTCAATGCCTCAACTACACACTTTCTCCATCCAATAATTTACTCCAAGTGTTAACGGACCAACTGACAAGCCATAGCAAGTGAATGCTACAACCCTTTTCCAACACCTTAGTGGGCAAACTCAAGGAAACAAGGAACCAACTTAAGCTTAGCATAATGAACCACCATCGAGAATCCAGTCAAAGCTACTACAATGCTATTTCGTGCAAGTAGACTAATTTCTCCATCAACCACTTTGGGGTTGATCATCATTTAACCAAGCAACTTCGTAAACACATTGCTCATTATCACATGGATATGATATAGAAATCACAATGACTTGATCATCAATTGAGCAACACCACGAGCAATGCCAATGTCATTACTTCAAAGGCTTATGTGAGTATCAAGTGCCAACTCAATTCGACAAAATGCAACATAAATGCCACACTCCACTGATAGAGATTTACAACACTCAACATCACTAACTTTTGTTCACAACATGAACAAACTCATGCCACTCTCTATCCAACCAAACTCAAAACTAATCCAACATCAAGCTACTCAAGGAACAATAGCAAGGTTCCCCAGAAAATAATTGAGCATTGCAACCCAAGTCTTCCAATAGCAAGCTATCGCGAATGTGACTTTGGGTATCGAAAGTTACCTGTCAACCAGTCCTTACGGACACTCTTACCTTACTGCCACGATGGTAGGAGGTTGGTATTGCTGGACCCTTTATCAGTCCCTCTTGTGCTAGTGGAGTTAACACCTCGTTGCAAATCATCTCTCCAAGAAGAGAAAATGATTTACGTATTTGATCCTCTGTCCTCGATGACTCTCTTTTCGATCTCATCTTTGACCAAACCTCAAGCTTGCTTTCGCACTGCCTTCAGTTCAATCCAAGAAAAGTTTATGAGAGAGCACGGCAATGATTACTTGAACCAATAGACTAATCCCTACAGTCTTGGTTGATTCACTTGTAATCATGCCTAGGAAAGATCCACTAGCGCCATGCTAAACAGCTATGGACCAGCCTATTTGCCACTCATAGCAAACTCAGGGAAGGTTTACTTTCACCCACGGTACATGGAACAACTTATGGAACCACTGATAGGCTAACATTAATCCTGCCCACTCAAAGTTTAATCACTAGTTGCTAATGTGCCTCACTCACGAGCCCAAGCGTAAACTCGTGCTAACAGAGCATCTCAAATCCATTCTATGAGCCCAAGAGAAAGCTCACATTATTAGGTACAAAAAGTAACCAAAACCATACCCAAGGAACGAATGTGAACCCTTTGCACCAAACATGTACCCACTTAGATCATCGTTTTCATCTCTACATATGCAACGAGACTAGTTGCCCAATCTCATTGAATAGTACTCGCTGAGACTCATCCTCTGATACCAAATGTAGCACACCTTTATCCTATGGTAATTTACCATAGGATAACACCACGAAGTGGAACCTAAACCCTTTTTGTGCCACATGACAAATGCCATGTGTCACATGCCATGTGTCCATGCCACGTGTCCATAGGAACCTGAGGTTCAGGTCCTTGGGCCACTGAACAAAGGAATGGTGCCAAACTCCCAAGCGTGGAGCCAAGGAGTGATGGAACCGAATCACGAAGCAACTCCCCAGCATAAAGCCTAAGGAGCAAAGGGACAGGGGCCCGGAGCGACTTGGAACAGTCCTAGAGTAACCAGCATCCCAATGCCAGGACCAGCACACAAAACGGAGCCAAACGGAGTCTGGCGCTATTTCGGCATACCGGTGGCCTAACGCGAGGATATGGGTACTCCACCAACTAGCATGGAATGGAACTTGGGCTTAGACCCAAGCCAGACGCAGAACAAGGACAGACACGCAAGCGGGAGCTAGACTATGCCTCAGGTTGGTCAGCCATGCCCGACCTACCCACTATCCCTACTATACATTTGGAACCCCCCACAGCCCCCCCCCCCCCCCCCCCCTTTGAGGAACACACGCTTTGGGCTTTCACCCCAAGCCTCCCTTAGTACCAGGAGTTAGTTGTAAGGAACCGACTCCCCGAGATGTCGTAGGCTAAAGGATCCCCAAAAGCTTGACCGAAATGACAAAGAGTTCATCAGATGGGACCAAGTTGAGGATCGAGTCCAAGACCGACTCTAGGACCGAGTTCGAGATAGAGTCCGGAATCGAGTCCGAGACCGACTCGGGGACCGAGTTCGAGTCCGAGTTCGAGACCGAGTTCGAGACGGAGTCCGAGATCCGAAATCGGGTCTGAGACCGAGTCCGAGGTCGAGTCCGAGGTCGGGTCCGAGATCGGGTCCGAGATCGAGTCTGAGATCGGGTCCGAGATCGAGTCCGAGATCGAGTCCGAGACCGAAGCCGAAGTTGGATCCGAAATCGGGTCCGAGATTGAGCCAGAGACTAAGTCCAAGTACTAATACGGGTCAAGGGGTGAAAGCCCAAAGCGTGCGTCTCCCAGGGGGGGGGGGGGGGGGGGGGGCCTTCCGGGGGTTCCCAAAATTTTGTAGGGATAGTGAGGTCCAGGAACCAGTCTTGAAGGAACTCTCCAGTGGTGCTTCCAAACTGACTTGAGGTTGAGACTGGGGCCGAGGGGCCTTGGGTGGGAGTGAGCATGGGCCTGAGTGGTGCCGGAGGGGCCACCTAGGGAAGTGCTCAAGAGCAGCTCCCACTCCCGAAAGGGAAACCGACTGCGGTGCTCCTGGCTCAGGTGGAGTGGTACCCCACTTGAGTACCTTGAGGCTCATTGGTCCTCGCCCTTCCTAGGGGCTTGGGCCTTCCCTTTGGGATGGAAGTGGGGGGGTAGAGGTACCCATACCGGGCCGTTAGGCCACGGTGTTTCGCCCCGACGTCCCGAAACAAGTGCTGCACCCAAGGCTTGGGATTTAGAGGGTCCCATGATCAAGTCTTGTGGCACCTTGGGGTGTTAGGAATCTGGAGGCTTGGTGTGCTTGGCTGCTTGTGCCTGCGGGGAGTGTAGCTGAACCTTAAGTCCAGTCTAACCCGGGGAGGGGGATTGAGAGAGATTTGGGAATCCGTAGATGGATGGCTAACACTCCGTTGCTCATGCAGTGAGTAGCTGAAACCAAGTAGGACCAAGTAGGAGCTAGTACCATAGGTGAGAACCTTGGCGAGGGAACTTAGCACAAGCCAAGGCAGAGTTGGTCGGATAGTCGAGGTAAGCTGGCAAATTGGAAAGGAAAAATTTGTGGCTTACAATTTGGTATCGGAGCCTCTTCCTCAGTTCTAGCGAAGGATAAAGGCGGATTGCTGGGAGATGGCAAGGGCGGGACGTAAGCGAACCCAGGCGGAGACGGAACCTCCTCCGGAGCTGGAGCCTCCGGTCGAACAAGAGGCTATGGATGAGGAATCCTTGCATGAGGAGGACTCCAGTGAGGCAACTTCCAAACAAGAGTCCGGTGGTGAGGTTCGGTCGTCCAAGGCTCGATTGGACGTTCTAGAAGGACAATTGGCACAGACAAATGCTCTGCTAGAGACTCTCGTACGCAAGCTAAAGCGTGATGGGAAGCAGAAGAAAAAGTGAAAGACTGCGGATGCTGGCAGCGCAGAAGGTGCGGACCCTTCGGCAGGGACTGAGGCAAAACCAGACAAGGTCGAACAGACCGAAGTGGAATCAGTCCCTCAGGCAGTTCCCAAATACAAACCGAAGCCCCCACCAGTCTTCAAGGGAGTGAACAAAGGGTATGTTAGGTTGAGCAAGTCGCCATATGGGGCGCCGGTGTTATTTGTGAAAAAGAAAGATGGATCTATGCGCATGTGCATAGACTACCGGTTGCTCAACAAGTATACAAAGAAGAACAAATACCCTTTGCCAAGGATTGAGGACCTATTCGATAGGTTGGGAAAGGCAAAATACTTCTCGAGGATTGACCTAAGGTCAGGATACTACCAGATCAGGGTAGCCGAGGAAGATGTCGAGAAGACAACCTGTCGAACGAGGTATGGGAGCTTTGAGTTTCTGGTGATGCCCTTCGGGCTATGTAATGCGCCGGCAACGTTTTCGGCTCTAATGAACCACATCTTTGTACCCTATCTGGATCACTTCATGGTCGTCTATATCGACGACATCCTGATCTATAGCGAGACGCTAGAGGAGCATGCCGAACACTTGGCGAAGGTGTTTGAGAAACTAAGGGAACACAAGCTGTATGCTAAAGAGAGCAAATGTGACTTTGCTCAACAAGAGGTAAAGTTTCTCGGGCATGTGATGGGCCAGGACAGGCTCAAGGTGGACCCGGAGAAGGTCCAAGCGATCCAGGAATGGGAGCGACCAGCCAATGTACACGAGTTGAGGGCATTCCTGGGGCTATGCAACTACTATCGAAAGTTTATCAGACACTATTCGAGAGTAGCCCTGCCCTTAACGGACCAAACAGGAAAAGGGAAGATAGTGTGGACAGCGGAATGCGAGGCGGCATTTGTCCACCTCAAAGGGAAGTTGAGGAAGGCTCCCGTATTGGCATTACCAGACTTTGGTAAGGACTTTGAGGTAGAAACGGACGCTTCGGACTTTGTGTTGGACGTAGTTTTGAAGCAAGATAACCATCCAGTAGCGTTCTTCTCGAAGAAGTTGGAGAAGGCTCAAAGGAAGTGGCCTGCCCACGAAAAGGAACTATTTGTGGTGGTCAAGGTGCTCAAGGAGTGGTGACACTACCTTGGGAGACACTTCAAGGTTTACACGGACAATGTGGCAACGAAACACTTCTTGTCACAGCCCGACCTGAGAGGGAAACAGGGTCAATGGGCCAATGCCTTGGCCGAGTTTGATTGCGAGATTTTGTACAAGCCTGGGAAGAGCAACATCGTGGTAGATGTGTTGAGTCGAAAAGCGAGCTTGAAGTTGGCGATATCCAATGCGACAGCAACCTTTTGGGATGATGTGCGGACAACATATGAGAATGATGGTCTAGCACAAGAAGTGTTGCTGAGGAATCTAAAGGCACGGGAAGCTCACCAAAGAGGTGAGCTGCCAACGGAAGAGAAAACGGGCTATGCAGAACGCAACGAACTCATCTATTACAAGCGAACGAGGGTGTATGTTCCAGAAGGGGAACTAAGGAAGGTAGCCTTAGAAGAGTGTCATGACGGACCTCTTGTGGGACACGGCGGAGTGCCCAAGATGATGGGCTTACTCAAGAGGAAGTACCATTGGCCAGATATGGCTAAGGACGTCCAAGACTATGTAAAGACATGTCCAACATGTCAGCAGGTAAAAGCTGTGACTAAGGCTAGTGGGGGCTTGTTGCAAAGCATCCCAATTCCAGATCGCCCGTGGAAATGTCTTACGATGGACTTCATCACGGGACTCCCCCCAAGCGAGGGGTTTGATGCGATATTCGTGGTGGTGGACCGATTTTCGAAAATGGCACACTTCATACCCACCACAATGGAGGTGGATGCGGAAGGTGTGGCAAAGCTGTTCTTCAAACAAGTGGTTCGAGTGCGGGGAAGACCGGAAGAGATCATCTCAGATCGAGATAAGATCTTCACCAGTAGCTTCTGGAGGACTCTCCTGGAACAGTATCGCACCAAGTTGAAATTCAGCACAGCCTATCACCCACAGACAGGTATGGGGTATTGATTCAAGTTGTTGGCACTAACACTTCTTGACAGACGGACAAACAGAAAGGGTGAATAGGCAGCTGGAGGATTATTTGCGATGCTATGTCTCGGGAGACCAGACCGATTGGGTAAGTCATTTGGGACTTGCGGAGATGTGTTATAACAACTCACCACATTTGAGTATCGGGGTGAGTTCATGGGAAGTCATCAATGGGCGAGCTATTGAAGGTCCTGTGGAACTCGGCATGGCCGAGTATCATGGAGAGTTGCCCGCAGTGGAGGCATTCACGGTGGAAAGACTCAGCATTTGGAATCTAGTGAGGGATTCCTTGGAACGGGCTCAACAAAGGCAAACCAAATATGCGAACCAGAAGCGTTGGGATGTAGAGTTCCAAGCTGGGGAGAAGATGTGGCTGAACACCAAAAACCTCAAACTACCAAGTGAGATCAGCCGAAAGTTGACCCAAAGGTAAAGATGCATGTATTCCTATAAATGAATTGATCTTGAGTTCCTTAAGCAGGTTCGCGGGGCCTTACGAGATTGAGGCACAAATCGGTAAAGTGGCTTACCGACTCCGACTTCCTCGAGAGATGGGGAAGATGCACCCAGTGTTCCACGTGAACTTACTCAAGCCGTACTTTGAGGATTTGCTTCGCAAGGACCAAGTGAGACCTTTACCTGAGGTTATCCAAGGGGAAGAGGAATACGAAGTCGAGGCCATCCTCAATGCGCGCAAGAGCAAGCGACAAGGACGCGAGGTGAGAGAGTTCCATGTGAAGTGGAAAGGATTTCCACACTGCGAAGCAACATGGGAACCGGAGGAGAACCTAGCGAACGCGCGAGATCTAGTGGAGGAATTTCTGCAAGGCAGAACTCTATGTACTTATGCAAAATTCAATTAAAAATATCAATTTGCAAAGTTGAGCAAGTGGCATATGTTGGGACCCGAAGGCGCGCCAAAGGTAAAATTTCTTGGACATATAGTCGGTGGTGGCGTAATTGAGGTTGATCCAAAGAAAGTGGAAGCGGTGAAGTCCTGGGAAGTCCCGACCACTGTATCAGATGTTCATTCTTTTCTTGGTTTCGCGGGATACTATTGCAAGTTTGTCCGCAATTTTGCAAGAATTGCTCTTCCGTTGACTGAGTTGACGAAGAGTAGTATTCCGTTTCATTGGACACCAGCTTGCCAGCGTGCTTTTGTACGGTTGAAGGAGATCTTGACTACGGTTCCTGTTCTCAGGATCCCAGATCTTGATAAACCCTTCAAAGTGAATTGTGATGCATCTGGCTATGCTATTGGTGTTGTATTGCAGCAAGATTGTGACAAAGCGGTTGGTGTTACGCTAAGGCAACTTGGTTGTCCTGTTACATTCTATTCTAAGAAATTGGATGAAACTCAACGAAGATGGCCAATGCATGAGAAAGAGATAGTGTCGGCCTTGGAACACTGGAGACACTACTTAGGTGGACACACCAAGGTTTATATAGATAGTAACATATTGAGCTACTTTGCTATGTAGCCTAAGCTTACACTGAAGCAGGCTCATTGGCAAGAGAAGCTTGCTAGATATAATATTGAAATCATATATAAACCTGGAAAAGACAATATTGTTCCAAATGCATTGAGTGGTCGAGCTCAGTTCTAGGCAATATTGGCAATCAGTTCAGACTGGTTGGAGGATGTTCGGGTTTTATACGGAAGTGATCCATTGGCAAAGACAATCTTGCACCATACGGAGTTGTTGAAGCAGAACCCTGGTAGCGACGGCGAAAGCTGTTAGTCGAACCAATGCGAAACTTCACTTTTCAATTCAGGATGGGCTTATATTCTATAAGCAAGAAAGATTGTATCTTCCCTCTAAGGATCTGTAGCAGTTGTTTCTACGGGAACATCATGATGTTCTAGCAGTAGGTATCGAAAGATACTTGTTGGCCAGTCCTTATGGACACTCTTTCCTTACTGCCATGACGGCAAAAGGTCGGTACAGTTAGTTCCTTTTATCGTTCCCACTTGAGCTAGTTGAGAAATTGGTCAATGACCGTGTACTTAAATCAGATAAACATAAGGTAGGAACCCTATGTGTTTCTTGCTGAGCATACTCAGCCTGGTTTGAGAAACTCTTATCATTGTTTTGCACTTGCTAATATCAAGAAGCCCCACGATATTGAGAATAGTGTGAGACACAAAATCCCTAGGCCCCAAAGTGGAGCCGGAAAGGGTGCCACGTGGTAGTGGCCGAAGCGAAAGCCCAAACGAGTGTAACACGTTTGGACTAAAAGCTCTGACTTGGAAGGTCGAGAGCGGGAGTGGAACTCCCAACAAAGTGCTCAAGGAGCGAGCACAAAGCGAGCAATAAGCAAGGCTCCAAAAAGGGACCCAAAAAGGACCAACACATGACACGTGGAAGAGTCCGAGATAGACCCGAGATGGAGTCCGAGGTGGACCGAGACGGAGTCCGAGATGGACCCGAGATGGAGTCCGAGATGGAGTCCGAGATGGACCCGAGATGGAGTCCGAGATGGAGTCCGAGGTGGACCGAGATGGAGTCCGAGATGGACCCGAGACAGAGTCCGAGATGGACCCGAGACAGAGTCCGAGATGGAGTCCGAGATGGACCGAGATGGAGTTCGAGATGGAGTCTGAGATGGAGTCCGAGAAGGACCCGAGATGGAGTCTGAGGTCGAGACCGAGACCGGGACCGAGACCGAGACCGAGACCAGGACCGAGACTGAGACCGAGGCCAAGGCTGAGACCAAGCCCGAGCCTGAGTCCAAGTCCGAGTCCGAGTCCGAGTCCGAGTCCGAGTCCGAGTCCGAGTTCGAGTCTGAGAGGGTGAAAGCCCAAAGCGTTCGTCTCCCAGACCCTGGGGGGTTTGGTGAGCTCCAAAAGTATAGTAAGGGGGAGGAATGCAGTGGAGCCAGTGTGGCCAGGAAAGGCCAGTGTGGCCAGGAAAGGCCAGTTTGGCCCAGGAAGGGCCCGACCCAGTGTTGGGTGATGAACTGACCACTGGGAAGTCCAAGACTAGAGTGAATACGGACCGACAAGCGGGGTAGCTTGGTGAAGTGTTCAAGAGCCGGCTCTAGTTCCCCCGGGAGATCGACTAGCCGATGCTCCCAGTCCAAGTGTGGGTGGCACTACCTACTTGGATACCAGGCGTGGCTCAACGGAACCTCGCTCTAAGCCCATGGCTAGAGCACCTAAAGGCGGAAGGCGAGGAGAGTACCCACGGGGCTCGCGTAGGCCCACGGTGTTTCGAAATGTTGTCCCGGAGTCCCAAATGGAGAAAGGAGGAAGAGCAGTCCTCTAGTGTGGTGATTAAGGATACAGTCACATGGTGAGGAAGTCCCGGAGGACCATGGGACTTAGTGGTCGGGCCTGTGGGCCTTGATCGAGTGGCAGTGTTGGCGAACATGGCCATGGACAGAAAAGGGACTTGGTAGGAACTGACAAAGGGATATTGGGGAAGGCTATTCCCCATGTCTGTGGGCATCCTAAGGATGCTAAAGAGTGGATCTAGGTTGACCACTCGTGGACGGATGGCCCAGTCTTGGAGAGACGGGATTGTGATGCAAGTGGTATTGGACCACTAGTGCGGCAAAGGTGAATGGGCATGGCCTTAGCGTAACGGGCCGATATGTCAGTGGTGCCTTTGGGTGTCGGTCTTGGGACCGGACACGTGGAGCACTTGGACTAAGTGCAAGCGATGAGTGGCATGGATGCCATTCTTGGGCTAGCAAGCCCCAAGTCCTGAATTGGACTTAAGGGGGTTGTGAATGAGACTCCTCCAAGCGGTCGAAGGTGTGGTTAAGTGACTAAAGTAGAATGGAAAAATTAGTCGCTTACAACTTGGTATCGGAGCTGTTCCTTAGTCCGACTTTTATTGGTGCTCTAGTATATCACTATTGATATTGGCATCGAAAGGTCCTAGGAGTGGGCTTATCCTTGAGGAGTAGCACGTCGAGAGGACATGGCTCTCCACTCGAGTTCATGCATGAACTTGGGCACGATGTGGTGGATAGAAAAGGGGCCAGTAAGGGAACGACTTTGGGATCTTGGGAACAGTATATGGTTTTCCTTAGAGAGTTGAGGATGTGATCCAGATGAGCATTTGACTTAGCAAACTGGCTAATGTAGTTGTGGTAAACAACTATAGTTGGGATCACGGGAAAGATAAAGACTCCAAAGCAATAAAGGAGTCACAAGATTATCCTCATATAGTTGAGGTTGGTGCTCATGAATGTGAGACCAGAAGTAATGACCGTGGGAGGTCAAATACGGAAGAAGACTCTAGTCCTTGAAATGGTAGCTAGGGCTGCCTTTAATAAATGCTGGAACAACCCAAGGAGTTGGGGGGTGTACTTAGAGATGAGTTGGTACTCTCATCACATGGACAAGTAGTCCTAAGGGGCAAAGGTTGCCCCAGAGAACAAAATCAAGTGTCAGAGTAATATTTGTGAAAATAGTCCTTGTGAGTGAGGACATGAATGCAAGAAGTGTATTCTAGTGAGCTAGTGCCCGACAAGTAGAACCTTACGGGTCTGTGGATTAACCAAGTCCAAAACTGCTGGATGACTCAAGTAGAGTCAAGGGATGGTCCTAAAGGACTAATGGAAGCATTTGGTCTGAGGTGTGTTGTACCCCACGAAGGATGGGGGGGACCATAGGATCCAAGGATAAGAACAGAGGGTATCTCATCAATGGCAAAATGTGCCATACTAAAGTCGTGGGAAAGGTGTTCCCAAAAGAAAACAACTTTGATACAAAGTTGTGTATGATCTTTATGGTGCAGTGCTAACGGATGGTTAGCATAAGAAAGAGCGGTGTTGGTCTTGGCAAAGACTTAGACACAAAGAAGAAGTGTCATAGAGGTAGGCTCGTGGAGCTGATGGTGTGGAGACACCAAAGGTGCCAAGGTGTGATACCTTGAGGCTATGTTGGTGGGTTCATGAGAACCCCTTGCCAAGGGAATCCCAATGGAAATAGGAATGGCATAGCCTAAGCTGCAGAGCATGCAGTTAGAGTATGGTGACCCAGATAATGGTGGAGGTGTGGAAGCACCAGCAATGAGTTGTAAGACTTGACAACTATGAGGCAACTAAGCGAGAGGTGCAAAATAATTGGTTAAGCGGGTAGAAGGTAGCTACCCAAGCCTTCTTAATGGCATAGGGAAGTTGGATATACCCTTACGGGGATAAGTTGCTTATGTTGCGATATAGTAAGTCAATGTCATAAAAGGATCAATGTCATAAAAGGAAATACTCATTGTCAAGGAAGCCATCATTGGGACACCCGAACACTCTAGAACACCAGGAGGTGGTGTTTGATGTCGCGAGGGCAATAGATGAGGCCCAAGGGACTAAGTCTCTAGCAAATGATGGATAGAAGGTGCTATCCAAATGTCCAAGGTGGCGAAGACAGGAGAAGACTGTCTACTGGAATTGGACAAAGCCAAAAATAGAATTTTGGCAAGATTAGCGATAGGCATGTAAGGGCCCATAAGCAACAACGTAATCCCGGTGTGTGGGATTATAAGGTGAGCATGCCCAAGATTGAGGAACCACTCCCTAGGCTATTGGGTAAGTTCATCCCTAAGAATACTTGCTAAGGCATGATAGAAAGTGCAAAGCTATCCTCCTAGTCGGGAGGAGAATGACCGAAGGAAAGGTGTGAAGCCAAAAGAAAGTAGTAAGGGGATAGAACCAAACCATAGGAATCGAAGGGCATAACCAAGGGTAGTTATGTCAGTTGAGAGTGGAGAATCAAGTGGGGGCTCGAGGGTGTTGTTGCTAGCAACCGTGATGCCATGGAAAGTCTAAAATATGGAATAGTCCATATTAGACTATATGGCAACTAGAAAGCTTGCGAAAAGGGAAGCCTTAGCAAGCTAAGGGACAGAGTTCCTTCAAGGTTCCCAAAGACGATTCTAGGTAGCTTAGTACCTAGAAAGGCCAAGTGTAAATGGTTCAAGGAAAGCGTGAAATCAGAGTGGCACAGCAAAAGCGTGGTCTTGAAGCTTGCCATGAGGCAAAGCTATCAAGGTTAGGGAAATAGTTCCCGAGTGTTCAAAGAGAGGGCTTTGAACGAAAGTCGATGATCAAGGGCTTTCACGCTTGTGCAGGAACCATGTTACAGTGGTCGGAAGACTTGCCAAGTGAGATTGGCAAGTTAGGGGAACAAATACCCTAGTTGAAAGTGATAACTTCAAAAGGGGTGGGCCATGGGGCCAAGTATGGAGGAGTCCATGCATGATCACAGACTTGTCAAGTGAGAGGACTTGGCAGTGTGGAGGAATTAGGTTCCTAAGCTGTGATCTATAGCGCGCTTTGAGTAAAAGTTGGTGCACCAGTGTGGGGAGTCACGCCAGGCATCCTGGGTGATGCCGTCCATAGATGCATATACGGAGGTTGGGTTCGAGTCCCGACCCTCTAGTGCTTGGGTTCGAGTCCCACATCACTAGGGCGTGGTGATGGTTTGGAATATGAGGACACTCATTTTTCGGTGGTCATGGACTCTCAATGAGGAGATTGGCTTGGGCACACCGCCAAGCAGGGGATGCCCCGGAGTCGTGATGCACGGTTAGATTACTTAGAGTGAAAGCTTAGCATATCTAACTTGAACACTTTGGTGCAAAAGGCACCAAGGACGTGGTGAATGAGATGGGGACACCCAGTCTCAGTTGCTATGAATCCTTGGCCGGAAGGGCTAGCTTGGGCGCACCACCAAGTGTGGGGGATGCCCCCGGGGTCATAGTCAACAACTTATTAAGGTCTTTGTTTGGAT